TTGCTGCGAAACCGTCAAAACCCTTTGACAATGGTCTGTTGAGTTTCGATTTTTGACAAAGGGTTTGCCAGGCAACTTTAGTATAATATGAGTAATTACTTTTAAATTAATTGTCAGTGTTATGCTTTAAGGGCAAAACAACTTACAGTTCACCCTCGTCAATGCGCTTTATTACGGTACGCGACATAAATAATGTGAATCACATTTTTATTAATTGCTCTATTAAAATATAAATTATTATTTTTATTTAAAAAATTTGATTTCAAGATTTAACAAATTATAAGACCAATTTATATTATAATGGTAATAAAAGAATGTAACTGCATCAAAATTTGGTAGCAAAATGTTAGATTTTCTCTACAATTAATAATTTTTATTTTTACACGAAAATAAAAATAATACGTTTCATTCCCTGCTTTTCTCAAATTTCCCATAACAAGAAGTTTGTTCTTGAAAATGGTTCGAGTACCATTCTGTAACTAAAACTGCATAATTTATACACGCATTTAATCTGAAAGCTCACTTTGATTTATCTTTAATTATATTTATCTTTGCCTATATGTGAAAAAATAATCGATAACAAGTAAATACACTAAACACTTTTGGTCGCTGTGCGAGATCGGTATAGTTAATATTAATTCGATCACCGTTAGGATTATTATCTGCTTTTTTTAGATTCTAACCCACTAAATGTTAAAACATAAAGTAAATTAGTTATCATATTCTTCTTATTTTACTGTAGTACTTCTTTATAAATTTGTAGTTTTCTTGTAAGACACTCGATATATCTTAATTCCCTGTATTATAGAAATTGCGTGGATCAGTTGGAATTGAAATCAATTTTGTAGTAAAGATTCAACTGATGTAAACTGCATTTAAGTGGAGTTTTGCTTTTTGTTCACTTAAATTTTCTTTATCCTCTAAGAGGGTTGATAAAGTTGTAAAATTCTCAAGTGGTTGGTCAGTATTTTGGAACATTTTGCACCATCCGGGAACATTATTTGGTATCTTAAGTTGTACTGTTTTATAGCGATAGATGCCAAAGATGTCAAATTCGATATACGTTCGTACATGTACATGTATATGGTGCATAAAATCGAAAATCATCAAACGTTTGTATTTTATAAAATGTATAAACTTCTTTACTAAGATGTGAATACAAAATTTAATCCGTGAATACGATAGAACAGGCCTTTTCTGAGCATAGTCACGGATTAAATTTTGTATTTACTTCTTAGTAAAGAAGTTTATCCATTTTATAAAATGAAAACGTTTGATGACTTTAGATTTTATGCACCATAAACCATAAAAATATAGTGAGTTTACTTCGTTTTATATTATAAAGTATATAAAACACGTATTATTTTTTCAGCGTAATAGTGTAAATATAAAAAATATACAAACGAAAAAAATATCGATATTGAATTTTTAAAATGAATTATCTTAAAATAATAATAGTTTTGCTAACATGTGCTGTTAATGTTTTAGCTCAAAAATCGTACGTAAGACTAAAATATACTCGTAAAACTTATAATTTTAATTTATTTCGATCATAATGTTTTAGTGCGACATCGGCTACAACTGGAGGTGGGTGTAGTAATTGTGTTTGTATTTGAATTTCGTCAATTTCAATGTGTGAATTATCTGAGTTTTCCAATCCTCCAAAATAGCTTTGATGTGTGGGTAG